GCAACCCTGTGGACTATAGCAGGCCAGTCTTCTCTGTCTATGGAATTCTCCAGGCAAAAATACTGGAGTGGGCTGCCATTCTCCAGGAGATCTTCCTGACCCTGGATTTGAACCCAAGTGTCCTGCATGGCAGGCAGATTCTTAACCACTGAGCCACCTAGGAAGCCCATTGTATGTTATATTGCATTGCTGTTTCAGTGGTTTTCTTTTAAGAGGTTCCTTTTGCTAGTTGGTGTTGCTATGGGTACTCATCCTACTGTATTTTTCAAGAATGCCTTTATGCCAGGTCTGTTTTGAATAATTAGAGCTACTAGTGGAAATAGTTCTGTTGCAAATAGCATTTACTAATAATTCTCATAATATGTCAATGCTAGTGACTTCAGTTGGTTTAGAAATAAAGAATTCTGTTACCAGCCTCACTTCTGCCCTGCTGACAGAGACTTGAAGTCCTCAGTAGTTCTTCCAAAACTGGAGTTTCTGCCCCTTATGTCACCACCCCTGAGCTCTTGAAGCATATAGTGTGGACGTTAGGATAGGAGCAGAAACAAGTACATTTTTGGAATACATTTTGAATCCTCCTAACAGGTTTTAAATTCAGTCTTAACTTCATTGTTTTGGCTTACTTAAATTAAATACCAAACCTCTGATAATCTGTTTCATGCCAGAGTTAAAGCTTGGCCTAGGAGGGAATAACAGAAAAGATTCAGGTGTGGGCCTTTCCAGTATTAAGTGCTGCCACCACCTGGTTCTGAAGGTGTGGGCTGTTGGGCTTGATCTTTCAGACCTGGGAGATGATAAACTTCTTTGGTGCTTTTAGAAAGGAAGAGGAAGAAGCAGCAAGAAGAACTCTTTTCTGATGATTTGGAGTCCCATGTTCAATTAATTTCTGCCTTTAGAATTTGTATAAATCTTAATTCCAGTTCTGCTAAAATAAAACTTATACACTAATATATATATAACATATATATATATTTTAAAAAGGCTAAATAGAAACAAACCAAGATATTAATAGTTATTTTTTGGATGCTGGAATTACAGCTCACTTGAACTTTTTCTCTTTACTCTTTGCTGTAGTAACCAAATTCCCCCAATGTATATGTGTTACTATTATAATCAGAAAAAATAATAGTGAAATTTTAAAAATAATAGTTACTTTTTAAGGAATTCATAGAGACTCTTCTGGTTTTTGCAAATAAGAAATTTTCTTATTCCAGTTACCATTTATTTCCTTTTAATTTTACTATATATTTCACATACTATACAATTCACCAGTTTAACGTGTGCACCTCCGTGGATTTAGTAGGTTCACAGAGATGAGCAGTGATCATCACAGTTTTAGTTCTAGAACTTTTTTGACACCCCGCAAAAGATTCTGGAAACAGTGTCAGACTTTTTTTGGGGGGGCTCCAAAATCACTGCAGATAGTGATTGCAGCCATGAAATTAAAAGATGCTTACTCCTTGGAAGGAAAGTTATGACCAACCTAGATAGCATATTAAAAAGCAGAGACATTACCTTGCCAACCAAGGTCCCTCTAGTCAAGGCTATGATTTTTCCAGTGGTCATGTATGGATGTGAGTTGGATTGTGAAGAAAGCTGAGCACTGAAGAATTGATGCTTTTGAACTGTGGGGTTGGAGAAGACTCTTGAGAGACCCTTGGACTGCAAGGAGATCCAACCAGTCCATCCTAAAAGAGATCAGTCCTGGGTGTTCATTGGAAGGACTGACGCTGAAGCTGAAACTCCAGTACTTTGGGTACCTCATGCGAAGAGTTGCCTCATTGGAAAAGACCCTGATGCTGGGAGGGATTGGGGGCAGGAGGAGAAGGGGACGACAGAGGATGAGATGGCTGGATGGCATCACCGACTTGATGGACGTGAGTTTGAGTAAACTCCAGGAGCTTGGTGATGGACAGGGAGGCCTGGCGTGCTGTGATTCATGGGGTCACAAAGAGTCGGACACGACTGAGCGACTGAACTGACTGACTGAAAAGATTTTTAGTTCCTTTGAATTATGCTCATATAGTTAGTGGTATAAACCCTTTAGCACTGTGAGGTATGATGGCATATATGATATAGACTTTGACATTGAGGAACTGCTAGGCTAATAGGGAAGAAAAGGAAATACAGATTCTTTAAGACAGTAGCATCAAGTGCCAAGTCCATGATACAAGCTAAATATTACAGAGATGCTGAGGATTGAAGAATCTGCTCTGTTTGTAATGATGAGAACAGGCATCATAGATTTAGAAGAATGGCATTTCCTAGGCAGAGAAGATGTGGAATTACATCTTTTTTTTTTTTGGTAAAGATACTTTCAAGCTTGCACCCATTAGGAAGTGTGCCCATATTTTATCTAGATGTTTTAACAACATAAGCCTACCTTTATTTAGAAAATTGTGGCCTGCAACATTTATTAATATACCACAATACATGAACATAGATAATTACTAGCTTTGTAATTCAGCAATGACACTGAGATCCACTGCTTGGTTTTTCCTTTTTTTTTTCCCCCTGATTTTTATTTATTTATTTATTGAAGAATCATGGCTTTACAGAATTTTGTTGTTTTCTGTCAAACCTCAACATGAATCAGCCATAGGTATACATATGTCCCCTCCCTTTGGAGTCTCCCCCCATCTCCTTCCCCATCCCACCCCTCTAGGTTGATACGGAGCCCCTGTTTGAGTTTCCTGAGCCATACAGCAAATTCCTGTTGGCTGTCTGTTTTACATATGGTAATGTAAGTTTCCATGTTACTCTTTCCATACATCTCACCCTCTCCTTCCCTCTCCCACTGCTTGTTTTTTAATTGATTTAACAGTCACAAGGAAAAACCTAAGACAGACTCTGTATAGCCATCCGTGTCCGTTTTGTAAAGACTGAACCACATCTTCTATACTGTTATCCTCTAATGCGGGGCTCTCTTCTGTCCTCCCAACCCTTGTAGCTCCTCCACACTCCCACCCCCCAACCCTTGTAGCTCCTCCACACCCCCACCTCCCACCCACCACCATTTAAGTCTGTATTGCTGTAGTAGATCATTGCTCAGAGTGATGAAGGCCTGCCGTTCCCACTTAGAATGATGAGGACCTGACCATTCCCAAAGAGCAGAATGATTTTTAAAAGTTGTTTTGTCCCTTACAGTGTGGTAAATAAAATTTTAAAATTATCTACCCTAGAAAACTTTATTTACTGTAAATATATCCTATGAATAAATGAAATATATTAAATCATAGTGTTGTGCAGATTTTTAAAAATTTCTAGGTGAAACCTGAAGATGGAGGGAACACTTATTGTTCAGAAGCTTAAATATTTAGCAATATAAATAAAATTAATTTTTATCAGTTCTGATACCAGAATCAGATTCCATGAAGCATATTCATTTTCTTCGACGCAGGGTTTATAAATATATTTTTTAAAAAAAGAATAGGAATAGGAATAAAAAGCACCAGGCAATTGAAAATATACTTAAGAAATTTTTATTTACCAAAACTCCATGTTGACGTGCAAGTGATATGGGGTGTGACAGAACCTCTTTTGGAACCGAGAGTGCTCTTTAAATAGAAACAAAAGAGATTCTAACAACTCTTTGAAAAAAAGCCAGTAGAGTCATCTGTTTCACTTTGTTATGTCTTTTATTTTCAGATTTCTCTCTCAGCTTTTAGCATCTGTTGTAACTCATCAGTCATGATGATCTTTGCTCCATTATTTTGAAATCTTTACAGGATAAAACAGCTTTGGCAGAGTTATTTTTGAGCCAAGTAGGACAATCTGCACAGATAGGATGTGGCAGCACCAGCACCACATGCCCACAAAGTAGAAAGTCATTCTTGAAGTTTCATGGTAACTTAATCTCTAAAATAGGTCATCATCTTTAAAAAACCTCTGTAGCGATTTAGTTGCTAAGTTGTGTCTAACCTTTACAACCCCATGGACTGTAGCCCACTAGGTTCCTCTCTCCATGGGGTTTCCCAGGCAAGAATACTGGAGTGGGTTGCCATTTCCTTCTCCAAAAAAACCTCTAACATCAGTGCAATTGTTTAAAGTCTTATGGTGTTCAGTTGCAGAGAAGTGATTTTCTAAACTGAAAGTGTGAAAGTGTTAGTTGCTTAGTCGTGTCCAACTCTTTACAACCCCATGGAGTGTAGCCTGCCAGTCTCCTCTGTCCATGGAATTCTCTAGGCAAGAATACTGGAGTGGGTAGCCATTCTCTTCTCCAGGGGATCGTCCCGACCCAGAGATTGAACCTGGGTCTCTCTCCTGCATTGCAGGCAGATTCTTTACCATCTGAGCCATTTTTTTCCCCACAGACTAGCATCATATGGATACTGATGTCTTCCCAGGTGACTCAGATGATCTAACCCCTTCTTTTCCATTGCTTTTGAAATTGAAAACAACTTTTACATTGTTTTTAGAACATATGTACCAATATATATATATTTTTAAAAGCATTATTTTACATATATACTGTATTTTAATGGAGAAGGAAATGGCACTCCATTCCAGTACTCTTGCCTCAGGAATCCCATAGACAGAGGAGCCTGGTGGGCTACAGTCCATGGAGTTGCAGAGTCGGACATGACTGAAGTGACCTGGCACATTATATTTCCAAAAATATTATTAGATGTATATGTATATAACAAATATAATATCATTTTTTAAATTTCAAAAATTTTAAATATTTAAAAAAATACACAGACACATTTACTGGAGTATGTCAAGGAACAGCTGCATACAGTGGATCAATGTATGCTGCCCGGCTTGTTTTCAGTTTACAATCTCTGGGTGCTGATTATGCCCCCTTGTGGATCTCCTGTTGACTTCTTCCAGAGCTGCTGACTTCAGGCGCATAACAGAATTAACCCGACTGGCTCAGGATGAAAATAATGACCTGAGTCTGGAAACCCACATTTTATCTTTTTTTTTTCTGAAAATTGTAACTTCATCTACTTTATTTCTGTGTAAATACTTTAAATTGTACTTTTTGTTTCGTCTAGATTGTCTTACAAGGACATGCAACAAGAGTAACTGCTAAATCTCAACAGAGTGGAGAGAAGGCCTTTCGATGTGGCTATGATGGATGTGGAAAATTGTATACAACAGCTCACCATCTTAAGGTATATACGAAAGAAGGCTGTGTCTAGTTATGAGGATACCCAGGACATTAAACGCCAACTTGATGTACTTGTAACATTCAGACACCATTGTTCTCCCCCACCTATCGAGATACAAATGATCACACTCATAGACACACAAAAACCTATGCAGATTTTAGAAATAAACTCTTTCAGGACTAGGACTATGCTTTCTTCATCTTTGTCTCCCTAGTGTCCAGCATATGTTATAGCACATGATAGGTATTCTACATATTTGAATAAGTTTTTCTCAGATGTGAAATTTATGTAATTATATGGGAGATGTGGATGTAATCACTCCGTTAACAGTAATTTGCTGCAATCCAGCAAAAGTTGGTGTTGATTTGTCCTGTCAAATACATAGGCCAAGTATTTTGATTGAAGCTAAACACAATATACCATCACTCATAAAAAATAGTAGCTAACTTTTATTGAATAACTTACAGTGTGTTAGGAAGTGTGCATTTAGCATGTTTGGAATAGCAGCCCCAGAGCCCATCTCTGCTGTCTATCAGTGTGTAACCGTGACATGTTACTTGACCTCTTAGTACCTCATCTTCCTTATCTGTAATATTGGACCATAGAGATTGTATACCTCCCTCAACGAGTAGCTGTGAGAATTAAGTAAGTTAATTCTGTGTCTGTAAAGTACTGAAGAGTATGGCCTGGCACGTGGTAAAGGTTCAGTAAATATTGGGCATTATCATGAGTATCCATTTGTCACAGCAGCCCTCTGTGGTAGGTATTACTATGCCCCCGTTTTACAGAGAGAACTTTGAGGCTGAGAGAAGGCAGATGCCACAGTCGCATCACTAGCCGGTGGTGAAGCCTTGCTTCAGATCAAGGCCCCTGTAGCAGCAGCCTCCACTCTCTTAACCTTATGTTGTATGGTGTCTCCTTGTACTCCTAGCTCTCAGCAGGCATGTGTTCCATACAAACACCTTTGAGCACTCTAGAAAAGCTCACACCTCCAGTATTCCTATCCCTGACTTAAAATGAGTACATCTTAACATGCAGCATTTGGTCTATATTGAGAATTAGTAGTTTTTGAGAAAAGTTATCTTCTGTCTTTCAAAAATAATATACAAGCAGCAAAATAATTCAGCAATTGGGGGCGAGGAGGAAGTCTTTGTGGAGACCATCTTCCTGCAGAGTGCCTCAAGGAAACACTCATGCTTTTGTTTTAATGACAGGTCCATGAGCGGTCACACACAGGAGACCGGCCTTACCAGTGTGAGCATGCAGGCTGTGGGAAAGCATTTGCAACAGGTAAAACTTTGAGCTTTGTTTCTTGGTTCCACTTGGGAGTCAAGCAGAGACAGGTCAGAGGAAGGAACTGACCAGCTGCCTTGGTCTGAATTAGTGGGCATGCAGCGACTAGTTTTCCAGTCTCTCCCTTTCTGCCTTTTGTCCCATTTAGTCTGTTCTCTTTGTGTTCTCATTTTTCTTCTCAGACCTGTTTCTGCCTACTGTGTTCATATTTCACTCCACACACTTCTTTCTTTTAGCAAGAAACACAAAAGCTGAGCATTAACACTGACTCAGAGCTTAACATTAGGACAGACTCTAGGGGGAACCATGAAGATCTGGGGCTTAGCAGTGGGATGGGTCCTGCCCTGGGACACATGCAGCAGGGCCAGGACTGGTGCCAGGCCTCCTGACTTCCACCCTGTTCTTCACTCCATGCCTCCATTCTGCTTCAAGATTTTGGAGTATGAGTAATGCACATGTAATAAGATGGGGACACTTTAAAAAAAGAAACACACAGTTTCTTCTAGTCAGAGATGAAACTGTTGAATTTTCAGCAGGACAGTCCTGAGCTGGTATGCTCTACTACCTGTTGAATAGTTATTCTGTTGTGTTTGCCTATTATTATATCCTTGGTGTTTACTATAGCTTAATCTCAGTAGGCATGCTTATAGGAGTCTTGTATAATTAAATTTCTTTGAAATTTTTCTTACAGGTTATGGATTAAAAAGTCATGTCAGAACTCATACAGGAGAAAAGCCATATCGGTGTTCAGAAGATAATTGTACCAAATCTTTCAAAACTTCAGGAGATCTACAAAAACATATCAGAACTCATACAGGTACTGGTGTGAAGAAATACTCTATCTAAGCCAGGAGTTTTCATCTGTAGGGAAGGACTTGGGGATGTGGTTTCCAGAAGTGCTTCAGGGAGTCAGTATCAAGGGCTTCTCTTAAACTCATGAAACTCCATGCAGTTTGCCATTTGTGCACATCCGTTTTTTCCAGGATGAGGGCCTGTAACACTGTTAGATTCTCAGTGGGTTCTGTGTTCCAAAACATTAGCAGTGGCCCTAGACTGCCAACCCTCTCAGTTTTTAGGAATTATCTGAGCAACTGGCTTAATTATCTAGGAGTGTACGTCCACTTAGTCGCCCAACTGAGACCAGAACCTAAGGCACCCAATTTCTTCCCAGTTTAGCATGGCTTCTCCTGCTTTAAGCTGCTTCTAAAAAAAGAAAAAAGTCTGACGTCCTTACAGCCCCACAGAAAGAAAGGCTTGTTCCTTTCTTGTGATCATCTTTCCTACCCTTTAAATTCCTTCTCTCCTTTCCCTAAGGGGTACTTTGTTCACATCTTCCTTCCCCTCCTGTCCTTGTATTTGATTATTTGCGGATTGGTGTTTTAAAGGTAGTCATTTGCTTTGGATCAGAGTTGGAAGACTTTCAGAAACTGTTGATAAGAGATGCTGTTATAAGCTGTTGACTTAAGCAATATATTGATAGCATAAGGTCATTTAGTTTGAGATTTTACTGCAGATGTTTTAAACGTAATCTTATCACTTTGTCCCCAGATATTTCTAAGTATTCTGATATAGTTTAGCAAATTTTCATGGAGGTTCTTCTCCTCATCAGTGTTTTAACTTTTAGTTCAAATATGATTCCAAATCAGCTTTACAGTGTTCAGGAAAAAGCTGTAGGTCCCTGCTTCTATTTAATTCATGCTCTTATTGTTATATGAAAGGCAGGTGTTTCTAAGCTCCTGAGAATAACAATATATTCAGTGAGTATTTTTAATGCATTTTATGTATGAGGCACCAGATTTTAAAAAGACAAAAAATTTTTTTCTTTAAGTGTTATAGAATAAATAAAGGAGGAGATAAGCTTTTAGGGTATTCTAGGGCTATTCTAACTTAATCCTTATGCTTGACTCTGTTTTTCTTTTGTATTTCTTTGTGATATATACTTCTTATCTCAGTTCATTTTTTAGTATATGCCTTTCTGGATGACTCCCGTCTTGGAAAGTCATGTAATCAGTGATGAGTTTTGAATACTGTTCAGATTTTCCTATGTAAATTTACATTTGGAGTAGACAATGCTGCTTGCAGAAAAAAAGAAAACAAGAAAAACAAAGGGAAGCTCAATACAAAAAGGCTATAGAGTCTGAGCATGAATGACCCTAAGCAGAATTGAAGGATAAGACATTTTAATTATCTGTATTTTTGCACCATCTAATGTATTTCCCTTTGTGTTTTCAGGAGAAAGGCCCTTTAAATGTCACTTTGAAGGCTGTGGTCGGTCTTTTACAACATCAAATATCAGAAAAGTGCATATTAGGACACATACAGGAGAAAGACCTTATTACTGCACAGAACCAGGATGTGGGAGGGCATTTGCCAGTGCAACCAATTATAAAAACCACGTGAGAATACACACAGGTAACGGTCTCTAGTTCTTGGTCTTCTGTCTTTCAAGGCTCAGTTTTAACTCCTGCCTCTCCCATAAACCATTTGCAGGAATCTCTTCCCTCCTTCCTACCACAGCAGTGGATTATGTAACTTGAACAAACTTCACCTTAGCATTTGTACATTATGCAATATTGTAATGTAATTATGCAATTATATTTATGCAATAGTTATTGCATGTCTGCTGTGTGTTCCCCTGCTAGTCATCAGAAATGCAGAGATAGACAAAACATTGTCAAGGGCAGTTGATTTAGGGAGGGGTAATTGTTGCAGAGTATCTATGTATATATTTTTTACCAGCTTTATTGAGATACAATTCATACACTGTACAGTTCATCCATTAAAGTATATGATTTATTGTTTTTTTAGTATATTCACGAGGTTGTACCACCATCACCACAATCCAATTTTTATAGATATTTTCTCCTATTCTTTTTTTTTTTTTTTACTTTTTTGATGGTGCCATTTACCGCACGAAAGCTTGTAATTTGATGCTCCACTTTGTGGTTGTATTTTTTTATAGTTGATGTATAGTTGATTTACAATTTTGTATTAGTTTCAGGTGGTTGTATTTTTGATGGGAATGGAGAGGAGTATGAGAGGATACATTAGTTTTATAAGAAATTTTTAATACATTATTTTTATTACTCATATTAAGAGTAAACTTGTAATAATTCAAAATTAAAAGACATTTAGAATGGAATGTTAGTTGTGTAAGGTAGTATTTCTCAGACTACATTCTACAGACCCCTAGATATCTCTGGAAATATTTTCAGGCATCTATAGCAATCCCTTTACTTTGAGAAAGGAACATTAATAAGTTTGGATACGGCTATGGATAGAGACGAAGGAAGATATAAAGAAAATTTACTTTTTTAGAAAAAAATTACTCTGTCAATGCTATAGAAAGACGTTAAAGGGAGATGAGGCCATAAGCAAGGAGATTGATTAAGGGCCATTAGAATATTTGTTTTTTTTTTTCCATTAGAATATTTGAAGTGAGTTAGATGGAGAAGGACAAAAATGAAAGACATTGAAGAGGTATCAGCAAAGGACCTGATGACCAACTTAGTCATGAGGAATGAGAAGAACTTGTCATTCTAGCTTGTGTGATAGGTTCAGTGATAATGCTAAGGTGAAGAAGACCAGGTTGGGAAGGGAAGATAATAGTGTGGGTTTCCCTCACCACCTGAACTCTCACCATCTGTATATTTGCTGTTATGGTTTGTAAAATTTTTACTCATAATTTGATTCAAATTGAAACCCCACTGTAATGAATCCACTTGATACATGCATTTTTCTATAAAAGGAAAAGATTTTAAATTGCATATGAATCTAAATGAGAGAACATAGAATACACTGCAGACATGTTTCTGATGCAGTCATATCTTATAGTCACATTGTATATTATACATTACTTTTTTTTATTATACATTATTGCCATCATCTTGCCTACATTATTTGTGTTTCCTAAGAAAGTAGAATATCCTGTGAAAACCTCAGAGGCCTAGAAAAGAAGGCTGTAGGTTAGGAAAAAAAATTGTCTTTTGCTAATATAATCTGCATTCCTTTCTATCTGTCTTTAAGTTTTGTTGTTCAGTTGCTAAGTTGTGTCTGACTCTTTGCAATTCCTTGGTCTGCAGCACTCCAGGCTCCCCTGACCTTCACTATCTCCCAGAGTTTGCTCAAATTCATGTCCATTGAGTCAGTGATGCTATTGAACCATTTCATCCTCTGCCACCCCCTTCTCCTTTTCCCTTCAGTCTTTCCCAGCATCAGAGTCTTTTTCAATGAGTTGGCTCTTTGCATCACATGGCCAAATATTTTTAAGATATTTCATTTTAAACTTACAATACAAAAAATAAATAAACTTACAGTACATGTTTGTGGTGTAGAAAGAAAACAAAATTCCTGTTTGATACTATGCCATTATTGTGTATTACATACAAACTTATACATGCTACTGAGTTCAGAATGTTAATAATTAGATAAATGGTGTTTTAAGTGCTTTATATTATGCAGACATTCTTGGTGGGTTAAGAGCCTTTTTGTAATATTTGGGGAAAATGGTTGGGGTTTTTAGATGAATTGGGAAAACTGTTTTTCCCATCTAAAGTAATGGAATATAGACTCATTATCTGAAAGTTAGCTATTCAACATGTTTTATGGGCAAATTAGATTACAGTCAGAGGGATGCCTGCTTCCCAGGTGGCTCAGTGGGAAAGAATCCACCTGCAATGCAGGAGATGCTGGTTCAGTCCCTGATTGGGAAGATCCCCTAGAGAAGGACATGGCAAACCACTCAAATATTCTTGCCTGGGAAATCCCATGGATAGGGGACCCCGGCGGGCTACAGTCCATGGGGTTGCAAAAGAGTCAGACACGACATAGCAACTAAACAACAACCACAAAGAGGGATGCCTACATTAAGTTTGGCCATTATGATCTTTGGAATATGCAGGTAGAGCAGTGCTTTCAAATGTGGCTGTACATCAGATTCACCTTTTTAAAATAGACTGATTCCACAGATCCTGTCTGCAAAGATTCTGACATAGTTTTACTGAGGTGAGGCCGAGGTATCAGTATATATTAAAAATCCTCCAGGTCTTTTAAATGTATACATGGTTAAAAGTCACTCAAGTAAGGATATCCAGTGGTGGTTTAGTTGCTAAGTCGTCTTTGACTCTTGCCACCCCATGGACTGTAGCCCGCAAGGCTCCTCTGTCCATAGGATTTTCCAGGCAGGAATGTTGGAGTAGGTTGCCATTTCCTTCTCCAGGGAATCTTTAAAACCCAGGGATCAAACCCGGGTCTCCTGCACTGCAGGCAGATTCTTTATCTATTGAGCTATCAGGGAAACCCCCTTGAGGATATCCAGTAGGTAGTTGTAAATGTTGTCCTGACCCAGGAAGTAGGTCTGGGTTGGAAGAAAAGATTGGCTGATGATTATCAAGTAGATAATACAATAAAAGCCCACATTATGTATAAGTGGAGCATAAGACTCAACTGTGTAAAATGCAATCCATTTTGGAAGGATGATCAGATTACCGACCCAGTTGAGACTGCAGCTAGCCATTAGGGAACTCCAAAGTGCAACTCAGATCCATTTATGTCTCCATGAAAAGATGTTCAACATCACTGTCACCCAGGAAATGGTAATCAAAACCACAATGAGATATCACCTCGAGCCTGTCAGAATGGCTATTATCAAAAAGATAGTAACAGGTGTTGATAAGGTTGTGAAGAAAAGGGAATCCTCTTGCACTGTTGGTAGGAATGTAAATTGGCACAGCCACTACAGAAAACAGTTTGGAGTTTCCTCAAAAATGAAACAGAACTACCATACAATCCAGCAATTCCACTTCTGGGTATTTGAATGAAGAAAATAAGACACTAATTTAAAAAGATACATACACCTCTGTGTTTATGACAGCATTATTTGCAATATCCAGGATATGAAAGCAACCTAAGTGTCCATTGATAAGTGAATGGGTAAGTGTGATACATTTACATACATACATACAGTAGAGTATCAGCCATAAAACAGAATGAAGTCTTGCCATTTTTGACAACATGGATGGACCTAGAGGGTGTTATGCTAAGTGAGATGTCAGACAGAGGAAGACAAATACTGTATTATTTCACTTACATGTGGAACTTTAACAAACCAAATGAATAAACAAACATAAAGACAGATTCATAGATAAAGGAAACAAAACTGGTAGTTGTCAGAGGGCAGGGGATTGGTGGATGAATAAAATAGGTGAGGGAGATTAAGAGGTACAAACTTCCAATTATAAAATAAATGAGTTATACAATGTGCAGCATAGAGAATATAGTCAATAATATTGTAGTAACTTGGTATGTTGACAGACTTATCATGGTGATGATTTTGTACTAGTATTATTGGGTCACTGTGTTATACACTTGAAACTAATATAATATTGTAAGTCAGTTATACCTCAATTGTAAAAACTATTGTTTTAAGACAAAACCAAAAAAATAATGCCACCCCTGGCCCCCCCCCCCCAATTTATTTATATCTTGACTGTGGTTTGGTGCCACATAGTGGCAGTTACTGCTCAAGCCTGAATATGAATAGGGCTGGTTCTCTGAGTTGGAATTGCCTGACATTTTCCTGCCTTGTCTTGCCCTCATCATGTCTCCTCCACAACCATTTCCCAAGATAAAAACTTCATTTTGCCCTATTTTGAGAATGTGGGCTGGGCAGAGGACAAGATGCAATCTCAAATACTTAATGTCTAAGATGTATATTACAGATTACCTTAGTGATTTTACTGTTTGTGGGTGGTTTTACTGTGTTTAGAACCACCATTTGAGGGTGGTTTTACCATGTTTAGAACCGTGAAAAAGATGGAGTTACCCTCGGAAGGTGTAAAATGAGAACAGAGTAGGCTATGCATATGTTTACACACATAAGCACATTTTAGAGACTGAGTTCACACCAGTACCTCCAATTCCAGTTCATCCCAGAGAGCTCTTTCTTTTCTTCTCACATTCCATATTTGCATTTTCCTTCTTCCATAGTCAGAGCTCTCGCTTCCAACAGCATTTATACATTTATTCATTATTCAGTCTTTTATTATGTCTAAAATAGTTTCCAAGTTGTTTTGCCTCTCAAAATGTTAGTTGCTCAGTGGGGTCTCTTTGGGACCCCATGGACTGTAGCTTGCCAGGCTTCTCTGTCCATGGAATTTTCTAGACAAGAATACTGGAGTGAGTAGCCATCCCTTTATCCAGAAGATCTTCCCAACCCAGGGATCAAACCCTGGTCTCCCACATTGCAGGCAGATTCTTTATTGTCTGAGGCACCAAGGAAGCCCCGTTTGCCCATAGTACTACAATAAACAAGCCTACCAAGAAGAGTTAAATATTTGTTTGTAGTTTTCCCTATTCCAGGGTAGTCCAAGATAGACTATTAGATACTGTGTATATGAGTTACTTTAGCTTCTTTTCCCTCACCCTGGCCCCCATACCTCTTTTAAGTGGTTAAAACTGTTCATTTAAACTACAATTAGGTTAATTTGTTCCAGTTTGCTTCCCCCCACCCCCACACCCCTGCAGTGTTAGATTCCCTGTGGCGCCCCCCCAACGACATACAAACAGTGTCTAGATATTGTGATATTAAATAATTATTGGTAATTTTGTTATTTGTAAAAAGCACCCATCTTTTATACAGTCAGAAATAACTTATGGATGAGATGGAATGTACATGGAGTTGTTTCAGAGGGGGCAAACATGCGGTGAATAACTGAAACTGTATTGGCCATGAATTGATAGTTGAAGCTAGATGATTGGTTTATTGCACTGTTTCTCTATACTTTTGTGTATGTTTGAAATTTTCTATAATGAAAAGTTCTAAAAATATGTACACTGCCTGTATTATTCTCAAACTGTTTCACGGGAAAAGATTTGCTTTGCATTGAATTGTTTTTAGTGAATAATAGCTTTTGATTGGTTGCAAGAAGTCAAGTGAAGTTAATATGAAATATGTGTCCAGACTATATCCCATACACTTTTTAGAAAATGTTTCTTTTTTATCCTTATAAAACCCTTAGGGTAAGCTACATACATTATACTAATAATTGCACTTATTATTTTTATTATTATTTTTGGCTGTACCAAGTGGCTTGTGGGATCTTAGTTCCCAGACCAGGGATTGACCCCAGGGCCTCTGCAGTAGAAGTGTGGAGTCCTAACTACTAGACCACCAGGGAATTCCCTACATTTATTATTTCCATTATTAATATAGTATCACTAATGATATCTAGATTATCTAGTTATAAGTAACAACAGTTTCATCAGTGCTTTTTTGGGGGGCTGCTTTATGTGGCATGTAAGATTGTAGTTCTCCAACCAAGGATCGAACCCAGGCCCCCTGCAGTATCAGTGCCTAGTCGTAACCACTGGATTGCCTGGAAAGTCCTCATCAAAGCTTGTAGCTGGGCAGTAACTATCTCCATCCTTATTTTTCACATCTCTTGAAATTAAACAAAAAGTGGTATTCAAGTGTGGGGTATGACTCAGGGTGCAGACCACCTTTTGAGCCAAGTTGAAACCATAGTCAGAGAATCTTTTCTTATGCTGTGCCTTACAGCAGGATAGAAAGGGATTTGACAGTTATTTATTTTTGCTACTTAGTGGTTTCCCTTCCCCTTCATTCCCTGTCCATCTCCTAGAAGGTATGGAATGATTATGCCTTCATAACTGAAAATTGGGTTTTTTTTTTTCTGGTGCCATTCTTTTCTCAGGGGAAAAGCCATATGTTTGTACAGTCCCTGGGTGTGACAAAAGGTTTACAGAATATTCCAGTTTGTACAAACATCATGTTGTTCACACTCACTCCAAACCATACAACTGTAATCACTGTGGGAAGACATATAAGCAGATCTCCACGCTGGCCATGCACAAACGAACAGCGCACAATGACACCGAGCCCATCGAGGAGGAGCAGGAAGCCTTCTTTGAGCCTCCCCCAGGTAAGGGTTTTTCCCAGTATTCTTATGTCTGTGTTTGAAATCAACAGTAATGAGCATAATGTATGATTGAAAGCATTGTCTCTAACCATAAAGTTTCATTCAAATAGTTGCACTAAAATACCATTTACAACTGCAATAATTGCTATCAAAGTAAGGTACTTAATGCTCTGGGATGTATGTATAAGAGGGGAAATTAACCTAGTCTTGAAGGTCAGAGACAACTCCCCTGAAGAAGTGATTTTTGGAGAGATCATGGGTTCACTCGGTGTACAGGCAGGGATGTGCAAGGTTTGGGGGGTGGGGTGGTAAACGGGGAGCAGAGGCAGGAGAATGTTCCAGATGGAGGGACCAGCACATGCAAAAAGCCCTGAGGTTGGAGAGAGCCAAGTAAATTGGAGAGACTGAAAGAAGCCTGGCCAGCATGGCATTTCTGCCTGGGAGGGTGCTGTGAGATGAGGCTGCACGGCAGGGCAGGGGCAGCTAGACTATTTGGACGTATTAGAATGTTGGTCTTAATCAAGAGTGGTGAAGCATTCCCAAATAACTAATTCTTAGTTGATTCATGTCTATTCAGTAGTGTCGTGGGAGACAAAAACATGTCATTTCAGTAAGGATAAACTCTTGAGAAAAATATCTTAGAGAATTAGATTCTATGATTTCAGTTAAATAACACAGCATAGTTAAATAGGTGAAATAGGTTTTTCTGAAACAGAACAAAACATATATATTGTCCTGTTTCATTGAGTAGTTCCTAAATGAAGTAAGTTTTAAAATTAAAACATTCTTACCCAATCTTACAACTAATACTAAAGGATTGAAAAACATACAGGTGGGGGGAAAAAATGGTTAGAGAATAAGGAAAAGAACAGATCATTCACTACTCAAATAATTCCCTGTAATTCTAATTTATCTTTTCAGATATTAGTCGTGTGATAGTAAGAAAATACGGAGAAGGAAATGGCAACCCACTCCAGTATTCTTGTCTAGGGAATCCCGTGGACAGAGGAGCCTGGTAGGCTGCTGTCCATGGGGTTGCACAGAGTCAGACACAACTGACGTGACTTAGCATGCATGCATGCATTGGAGAAGGAAATGGCAACCCACTCCCATATTCTTGCCTGGAGAATCCCAGGGACAGAGGAGCCTGGTGGGCTGCTGTCTATGGGGTTGCACAGAGTCTGATACGACTGAAGCGACATAGCAGTAGTAGCAGCATCAGTAAGAATATAACATTTCCTTCACTCTTTTTAAAATATTTTGCCCATATCACAAGGTTTGCAGGATCTTAGTTCCCTGACCAGGGGTTGAACCCAGGCTCCATCACTGAAACCAAGTGCTAGCTACTGGACCATCAGGAACTTCCCAACAATCCTTTACTCTCGAATGCTATGCTATTTTCTAGCCAAAGCACTGTAAGTGTGCTTGGTTAGATGTTAACAATTGCTGCTGAATTCTTGCAATTATAAAATAGACTTTAATGATGTCAAACTTGGGTTTAAGACTGTTCCCTTTTTAATCTTCCTCAGTCTTCCTTAAATGTTAACATTTCAGACTGTCAGAATTTCTTGTGTTCTAGAAGATAACCAATGATACACATTTTATTAAAAAAAAATTAAGATTGTTTTTCCAAGAAAAAGAATGGGTTTGTGTTCCTTTTCTCCCATATTATCCCCTATGTTTTGAACCCCATTGGAGTAATGGTATAATAATAAGTATAATAAATGGCCGTGCGTGCATGCTAAGTCATATCAGTTGTGTCTGATTCTTTGCAACCCTATGGACTGTAGCCTGCAGGAATCCTCTGTCCATGGGATTCTCCAGGCAAGAATATTGGAGTGGGTTGCCATGCCCTTCTCCAGGCGATTGTCCTGACCCAAGGATCAAACCTGCATCTCTTATGTCTTCTGCATTGGCAGGCGGGTTCTTTACCACTGGCGCCACCTCAGAAGCTCATCTGCCTGTGTCTTGTGTGTGCTCAGTCATGTCTGACTCTTTGAGACCCTTTGGACTGTAGACCACTAGGCTCCTCTGTCCATGGGATTTTGCAGGCAAGAATACTGGAGTGAGTTGCCATTTCCTCCTCCAGGGAATCTTGCCAACCCAGGGATGAAACCCACATCTCCTGCATTGGCAGGTGGATTCTTTACCACTGAACCACCTTGGAAGCCATGGAACAGAACAAAAAGAAATGAAATAATGAGTGTCATAGGAATTACACCATGATGACCATAGCTATATGAGGGCAGGCATCAATCATAACTTTGAGAAGTGCTCTTAAATTAGCATGTAAAGTCCTTTGAATTAAAAAAAAAAAAATTACCCATTTTCTGGCCTCATGAGATGTGGAAAGCAATAGAAGAGAGGGATAAGGAATCTTACTGGTTGCCAAGTATGGCAGTAATGGACAGTTGAAATTGCTGTTTACTTGCTGATTTTTTGTGAAATAAAAAAGTGGGTGGGAGTTCCTGTTCAGTCACTTATGAAATTATTAACCTTACCCCAGATAATACTGTCTTTACACAGTGATGTCATTGTGTACTGATGACTTGTAATCAGTCACTCTTGTTAAAGAGTAAGTAACTTAGTATATTGTATTTACACACCATTCTGGTTTTGGGGTTAATATTTATGAAGATTGTCTTACCATTTTTAACAGCTTCTTAAGTGACTGCAAGAACTTAGTGCATATTTGCCATGTTAGAAGGGTTACTTGCTAGTTAGTCTCCCTGTGCAGTTCCCCCACTCCTCACCCCAACACACATGCACAGTGTTGTATAATTATGCCAACTAAGGGAGTAAGCGAGGTCTCTCAAAATTAGAACAGTTATTCTTTATGTGGGAAAGTTTAGTTCCGTCTGCTTGGATTTGGTTTGGCTTTGCAAAAGAGCAGGCGGAGAGATCGACAGGAGGTGTTAGAAATCATTTTCATGATTTAGAATTCAGTACATATGCCCTTTCATTTTTGTCAGTTTCTCCATAATAATTAAAATATTCTGTTTTCTAAACAGCTTGGTCGGTTGATCAAATAAATGATTCATTTGTTTTAAACAGGTCAAGGTGAAGATGTTCTTAAAGGGTCCCAGATCACATATGTTACAGGCGTAGAAGGGGATGACGTTGTATCTACACAAGTAGCCACAGTAACCCAGTCTGGGTTGAGTCAACAGGTTACACTTATATCCCAGGACGGGACTCAGCATGTAAGTACCCACCAAAAGCCAGACACATTAAATAATAATTCTCTGAGCCTGGGCTTAAAAGGTAGGTTGGGTCCCAGTTGAGGAAAGCCTTGAATTGGGGCACAAAGTTTAGAGTTTAGCTTGTGAGCAGTGCTAGATCTCCTGAAGAAAGAGACTCTTTCTTGCTGAAAGAGACTACATGCAAGGAGGTCCGTAAAGGAGAAGGTTTGTCACTCTGTAGAATTCAGGTGGTGTTATGGGTACCTTTCAAAGGTAAGGTGATGAAGGTCAGAAACACAGTGAAAAGTAACGGGTCCACGTGAAACTTGGAAGGGATAGATTGGGTGGCTAATTAGATCCAGGAGATAAGATTGAGAAATCAGCAGAGGTTTGGCTGAGGTGATGAGGACATCATTAAAAGATCTGAGCAAGTCAGTGATGGGTAAACCTGTAAAATTTCCAGGGTGTGACTTTCTCCCTACTTGGAATCATGGGAGTTCACTTAACTAGCTTCAGAATTAATAGGAAGCTGTCTTGATTTCCCTAGGAAAAGCGATATGAGTTGTTGTTCAACAGTCAAACTTGTCATTGCTTTCTAGATGCCACTATCCTAAAATAATTCAGACTTGATTTCATTTTTAAGCCCTCACTAAGGTTGTCTTAATACCTGTGGAAATTGATGCATGAGGTTCTTTATCCTCCAATACTGCCTCTTCCTTGGAGAACTTTCTTTTTACCCATCTCTTTCAGAACTTTACCTCCCATGATTAATCTGCCCTTTGAATCGATAACTCTTAATGTTATCGATAGCCAGTGTTAGCTAGAAGCAGAATGTATTCAGGATAGAAACATACAGAGCACTTGGACCATCCCATTCATCCCTTTCCTCCTCACTTTTGACATCACTAATTCTACACAGTACTCTTTGTCCACTAATTGGCATATAAGATTAAACAAATTTACTAACAGTTTTATTCTGGACAGATAGGGTGTCACTGGGGATTTGAGCAGGGAGCATAATGAAATTTGTTCGTTTTTTAGCAAGGTGACAAGGTAGAGGATGATTAGGGAAGGGTTAGATATCTAGAAAGAAGTTGTATTACTGCCAAAAATTAGATGAGAGAAAAATAGAAATCTAAATTGGCAGTAGAGATGGAGAGGAGGAAAACATATTTAATAAATACTCAGTTTTTCTGATGATCTCTTTCTCAAAGAGTTTATTCCATTGTAAAATGCTTATCTGCTCCCAGAGTAGACTTACACAAGACTTGCATGTTGCATGCTCAGTCGTGTCTGACTCTTTGCAACCCCATGGACTGTAGCCTGCCAGGCTTCTCTGTCCATGGAATTTTCCAGGCAAGAATACTGGAATGGGTTGCCGTTTCCTCCTCCCCAGGATCTTCCTGACCCAGGAATCGAACCTGCATCTCCTGCATTGGCAGGCGGATTCTTTACCACCAAGCCACCTCGGAAGCCATAGGAGGCTTAAGCCCAGTCCTTAATAAAATTGACCAGCAAAAGCAAGAAACATTGCTTGATTTTAAAATGCATTGTGTTGCAGGTCAACATATCTCAAGCTGACATGCAGGCCATTGGCAACACCATTACAATGGTAACACAGGACGGAACGCCCATCACAGTACCTGCTCATGATGCAGTCATTTCCTCAGCAGGAACACATTCTGTTGCTATGGTTACTGCGGAGGGTACAGAAGGGCAGCAGGTAATTGCTTTTTTCTTTTATCTCAATCAGTACACATATCAATATCAAAATTGTTAGTCATAGATGTATGGTGTGATATTGTGCATGCTAAGTCACTTCAGTTTGTGTGTGCCTCTTTGCAGTGCTATTGACTGTAACCCACCATGCTCCTTTGTCCATGGGATTCTCCAGGCAAGAATGTCCCCCAGGGCTCAAACCCATGTCTCTTACGTCTTCCACATTGGCAGACAGTTCTTTACCACTCGGGTTCCCTGGGAAGTCCAGTGGTTAAGCACATAAACCTCAGATTGAATTTCAGTTTTAAAGCTTCTTAGCAACACAGCCCTCTGAGTCTCAGGTTTTTTTCATGTGTAAAATAGGATTGACTTTTGCATATACCCGTAATAGCCCCTGGGGTCACAAGAGTTAGATACAACTGAGCGACTGAGCACACACGCACACAGTCATCTTCCCCCACCCTTTATATGGTAGTAAACACTATACTGTTTTTCACCTCCTTGTTTTTTTTTTTTAATCTTAATAATACATCTAGGACATCTTTCTCTTTCTTTATATAGAGAATTTTCCTATTCCTTCTTTGTTTTTTTTGTAATTCTGGTGGCGCCGCATGGTTTGTAGGATCTTAGTTCCCAAGCAGGGAATGAACCTGGGCGGGAGAAGTGAAAGTGAAGAGTCCTAACCACTGGATTGCCAGGGAATTCTCTCTCCTTCTTTTTCTAAACTATATCATATTCCACTGTATGGACATGCCATAATTTATTTAAAGCCTTTGCTGTTTCAGACAACACATAATCTTGTGCACATGGGATTTTTTATGTGTGTGAATATATCTGCTACTAGATAAATCCCTAGAGTGAAACTGCTGGCCAAAAAGACACACACATTTGTAATTGTGATAAACATTGCTAAACTTCCTTTCAAGGGTTGTACACATCTACATTCCTATCTGTAGCCTTTGAGAGTGCCTCCTCCCCTTTTGATGGTCAGCGCAGTGGTAACAAATCTTATGTATCTCTTTGTAGTTTTATTTTTCTTTTATCTTAAATGATTTTGGTCAGTACATTTAAAAACTGTTCTTATGGGGCCTTCCCTGGTGGTCCAGTGGCTAGTACTCTGTGCTCCCAACAAAGAGGGACCCTGGTTGGGGAACTAGATCTCACATGCTACAACTTAAAGATTGGGAATGCCATAACTGAAAAAAAAAAAAAATATCATGCATGCTGTAGCTAAGACCGAGCACAGCCAAATAAATCAATAAATAATGTTGAAGACATTACAACAACACACACACACACACAAACTGTTGCTGTGCTATGCTGAAGACAATGCTAAGTTTCACTGCAGCTACTGTACCCTGTTCAATGAAAGGGTCTGTCAAAATTCATAGCTATTATTCTTCCTAAATTCATTTATAGATTCAGTACTATCACAATCAGAATTTCAGAGGGCATTTTTGAAGGTATACATAACCCAATTCCAGTATTTATATGAAAATGCAAAGGACCTAAAAAGAACATGCAAAGTCCTGAAAAAAAGAACAAAGTTGAAAGCCTTCTGCACCTTGAAATACAGGAATCAGAATCATAAAGCTTCTAGAAGAAAAGTGAATGTTTTTGTCACCTTAGGATAAAAATTTCATAGACAGGATAGAAAATGCACTAACAATAAATTTTTTTCTTTTTGGATAAATTGGACTTCTTCAAAATTACTTCTACTTACCAAAAACAATGATAGACAGAGTGCCTGATGAACTATGGACAGAGGCTTGTGACACTGTACAGGAGACAGGAATCAAGACCATCCCCAAGAAAAAGAAATGCAAAAAAGCAAAATGATGGTCTGAGGATGCCTTACAAATCACTGTGAAAGAAGAGAAGTGAAAAGCAAAGGAGAAACAGAAAGATATACCCATTTGAATGCGGAGTTCCAAAGAATAGCAAACAGAGATAAGAAAGCCTTCCTCAGTGATCAGTGCAAAGAAATAGAGGAAAACAATAGAATGGGAAAGACTAGAGAGCTCTTCAAGAAAATTAGAGATACCTAGGGAACATTTCAGGCAAAGATGGGCTCAATAAAGAACAGAAATGGTATGGACCTAGCAGAAGCAGAAGATATTAAGAAGAGGTGGCAAGAATACACAGAAGAACTGTACATAGAAGAACTGTACAAAAAAGATATTCATGACCCATATAATCACAATGGTGTGATCACTCACACTCACCTAGAGTCAGACATCCTGGAGTGTGACATCAAGTGGGCCTTAGGAAGCATCACTACTATGAACAAAGCTAGTGGAGGTGATGGAATTCCAGTTGAGCTATTTCAAATCCTAAAAGATGATGCTGTGAAAGTGCTGTACTCAATATGCCAGCAAATTTGGAAAACTCAGCAGTGGCCACAGGACTGGAAAAGGTCAGTTTTCATTCCAATCCCTAAGAAAGGCAATGCCAAAGAATGTTCAAACTACCGCACAATTGCACTCATCTCACACACTAGTAAAGTAATGCTCAAAATTCTCCAAGCCAGCCTTCAGCAATATGTGAACCATGAACTTTCAGATGTTCAAGCTGGTTTTAGAAAAGGCAGAGGAACCAGAGATCAAATGGCCAACATCTGCTGGATCATCAAAAAAGCAAGAGAGTTTCAAAAAAACATCTGTTTCTGCTTTATTGACTATGTCAAAGCATTTAACTGTGTGGATCACAATAAACTGTGGAAAATTCTGAAGGAGATAGGAATACCAAACCACCTGACCTGCCTCTTGAGAAACCTGTACGCAGGTCAGGAAGCAACAGTTAGAACTAGACATGGAACAAGACTGGCTCCAAATAGGAAAAGGAGTACGTCAAGGCTGTATATTGTTACTCTGCTTGTTTAACTTATATGCAGAGGACATCATGAGAAATGCTGGGCTGGAGGAAGCACAAGCTGGAATCAAGATTGCCAGGAGAAATATCAATAACCTCAGATATGCAGATGACACCACCCTTATGGCAGAAAGTGAAGAAGAACTTAAGAGCCTCTTGATGAAAGTGAAAGAGGAGAGTGAAAAAAGATGGCTTAAAGCTCAACATTCAGAAGACTAAGATCATGGCATCTGGTCCCATCACTTCATGGGAAATAGATGGGGAAACAGTGGAAACAGTGACAGACTTTATTTCTGGGGGCTCTAAAATCACTGCAGATGTGATTGCAGCCATGAAATTAAAAGATGCTTACTCCTTGGAAGGAAAATTGTGACCAACCAAGACAGCATATTAAAAAGCAGAAACATTACTTTGTCCATAAAGGTTCGTCTAATCAAGGCTGTGGTTTTTCCATTAGTCATGTATGGATGTGAGAGTTGGACTATAAAGAAAGCTGAGCACCAAAGAATTGATGCTTTTGAACTGTGGTGTTGGAGAAGACTCTTGAGAGTCCCTTGGACTGCAACGAGATCCAACCAGTCCATCCTAAAGGAGATCAGTCCTGAGTGTTCATTGGAAGGACTGATGTTGAAGCTGAAACTCCAATACTTTGGCCACCTGATGTGAAGAACTGACTCATTTGAAAAGACTCTGATGCTAGGAAAGATTGAGGGCAGGAGGAGAAGGGGATGACAGAGGATGAGATGTTTGGATGGCATCACTCAGTGGACATGGGTTTGGGTAGACTCCAGCAATTAGTGATGGACAGGGAGGCCTGGCATGCTGCAGTTCATGGGGTCGAAAAGAGTCAGACACGACTGAGCAATTGAACTGAACTGAACTAAAGACACTATATAGGAAAAGATTAAGTAAGCCCTAAACTGGAAAAAAAAAATGTTCATACTTTATCTGACAGTGGACTCGTATTGTGAATAATATGAACAATTCATTAAAAATGAGCAAAATAAATAAAAATTATAAATGAGCAAATCATTTGCTTGCTTATTTGATCATATCCCTCACAAAAGAAGATACATCAAAGGCAGTAACATGAAAAAGTACTCAATATCTTTAGTCATCAAATAAATGTGAGTTGAAATCACAGAGATACCATTTCAGACACAGGGAAGTGGCTAAAATAAAAAAGGCTAATGGAAACAAACACTGGCAAAGATGAAGCAACTAGGACATTAACACTCTAGTGAGAGTGTAAAATAATACAACCAGGAGGGGGGATCGGGATGGGGAATACATGTAAATCCATGGCTGATTCATGTCAATGTATGGCAAAAACCACTACAATATTGTAAAGTAATTAGCCTCCAACTAATAAAAATAAATGGAAAAAAAAATAATACAACCAGGTTGGAGCACTCTTTGGCAGTTTCTTATAAAGTCAAACATACCTCTGCTCTATGACTCGACAATTCCATCTAGAATACATACCATATGATTCCACTTAAATGAATGAAATCCAGGAACACACAAGACAAATCCATGATGATTGAAATCAGAAAGTGCTGCTTGGGCTCAGGCAGGAAATTGATGGAATATGAAGAAACTGTTCAACATCTTGTTTTAAGTGGCTGTTTCACGGTTGTATCTGTTAAAACTGAACATAACACTGAAGATTCATGCATTTTTGTTGTTTGCTACTTATTCCTTATGCCAAAACAAATAAAAAATGTAACCGCTAGGCCGTGTTTTGCAATGATCCCACCTAATCGCTTTGCAGTCATGTCCATGGCTCTAGGATTCCTGGATGGGTTTATAGCCCAGCTTGAGTAAATATACCTGGTATGAGTTACAGTTGCAGGTCTAGAAAGATAGTGACCCTCAATTAAACATGCTTATGTAGCTTATCTGCAGCCTGTGGGCCAGAAAATTTCCCAAGAGAGAAGGCTTTGAGGGCTAGAATGAAGCCAGGCAGCTTCCAGCAACTCGGGATATCACAACAGGGGGTTTCACCGGAGGACCCGCTGCTGCCATGACTTCTGCTGTAACCATGTGTAGGCCACTGGGCACGGTCGGCTGTCCACTGGGCGGTTTGCACACCCCACCCCCACCGCCGCGAATTATCTGTAACACTTAAAT